GGCCTCGCGGAGCGCGGAGCGCGGCTGCTCCTGGCGCGGACCCTGCGCGCGGGCCTTGCGGGCGCTGCCCCGGCCGGCAGAGGTCGCGCCGCCTATTGTGCTCCCGGCTCTGAGAAGCCGGACCTTGGGAAAGGTGTGTGGGCGCGGAGAAGGGCGCAGGTTTGGCGCCTGAGGTCGGAGGGGACTGAAAGGGAACAATCGAGCGTGCGTGTATTTTCCTGAGTCCCTGGGGCGCGAGTGCCAAGGTCGGGTCGCCTGGAGCCTCCGACCTGTGTTTGGGGTGGGAGCGGGCTGGAAAGCCGCGCTGTAGGTCGGGAGCCGGAGCGCGCCTGGCGGGGCCGGGGTAGGCCCTTGCCGCCGTGTTTACACACCCTGCTTCTCCGGGTGCCGGACTCCCAGGCAGCTCTGCCGCCTGGCACCCTTCCCGGGGGTTTTAGTGCCCGGCCCTGCCTCCGGGGCACAGAGGTATCTGCAGGAGGTGGCGCCCAGGGAGCCAGCCAGCTGTGCCTGTCCCGGCGCTCGGCGCCTGCCTTTCCTGGAGTGGCCCCCGCTGGGCTGTACACGGGCTTTCGTTTCCCTGCACCCCACCGCCTCTGGGACCAATCTACCCAGTTGCGGGAGATTCGGCTCCTGCGCCGAGTCCCATAGCGGGGGGGAAAAGCGTCGCTGTTTTCCGAACCTCGTGGTTTCTTTGTTTTTCTCCCCACGGAAGTGTCTAGTTGCAGAGACTGTAGTATTTATCCAGCGTCTTATTCCCACCCTCCTCCCCCCTTAAGAAAATCTCCTTCCCACGTTAACAGTGTTTTGTATTTCTGAAGCCGGAACAGCTGTGATTATCAGATGAAACCTAAGCCTTCTCTCCTCCCTTCTTCACTAGAAGAAAAGGGTTGAAAATGACCTGATTTACGCTTTGTATGAGGACAGCGAGTGATCGCTTCCACTTAAATTCTTTGGCTCATTAGTTGTGGTTTTGGCTAACTAACCCCAGCTGGGTTTGAGGGCAGGCAATGGACAACACGCCAGATACGTGCCCCCCCCCAAAAAAAAAAAAAGTCAGAGGAGCATATTTGGTCAAACATACAGGGAACCCAACAGGTTTTTAGGCTTGCAGAAATGAGTCAGTGGGAGACTGGATTGCTTGGTCTTTGTTGTAGTAAAGCAAACGTCTGGATTATGCATTTTCCCTTTCAGCACCTTGACCCTGGACAGCACCCGCTCCACAGTCCCTTTCTCAGTGCTTAAATCGTGCCCTGGAGCTGAAGGCGCTCTGGGGTCTCTGTATAGCTCCAGGGGCTGCATTCAAATTAACCCACAGAGATGAGCATGGGGGGTGGTATTTAATACTCCTTCAGGGAAGAAGTTCATTTATCCAGACATAGCATGGTTTTGACCCTGAAGCTGTCAAAAGAATATCAAGATGTTGACTAATTCCATTCTTTACTGTCCCTTCCTTTGACTTTAGAAATCTGGGTTCCGGGGACCAGGGAGATAGCTCAGTAGAATAAGTGCTTTCTTAGTAAGCACAGAGCCCTGAGTTAATCCCTGGTCCCCTCCCCCCACCAAAAAAAAAAAAAAAAAAAAGAAAAAGAAAAAAAGAAAGAAAGAAAGAAAGAAATCTGGGCCCAATGCATGTATTCACAGCTCTTTCACAGAGCTCCAAGAAGAGCATCTTAAATACTTTCACAGGTTTTGGCAAAACCGACACATCTTTTTTTCCTGTTTCTTGAATCCATATATGTATCTTTGAAAAGACCAATGTACTTTGTAATTATAATGAAAAATAATATAAACATTACTGTGATGGACATGCTACAGATTGTTCCTAAGCACTGGGAATTGTGGAGAAGTTTCCAGTATATCCAACCTGCAGTCAACATCTTCAGGGCAAAAATATCATTTGATTTTTGCAATTTGCAAAACTGAATGTTGTTGACAAATTGGTATTGGAACTTTAAAGCAGTCTTTTAAAAGTAACTTGAAATGTCATTGACTGTGAAATTAAAAAGAATATACACCACTTTTAGATTTAATTATAACTTTTAGAAGATTTAAGTAAGGATAAGAATTGTCATAATTTTACTTCAATAAGAGCACATAATTCTTCTGTGGAATTCTGAATAAAGGCCTTAATGTAAATATTAAATAAAGTGTTCATACACTTTCCAATTTATTTACTTCTATTCCATAGAGTTAGGACTCCAATTAAATAAGTGTATCTAAAATTGTAGATTACTTGGGATTAGAATTTGGTTGTATTTTTAGCTTGAAGTTTATAATTTAACAGACATGTGCTTTTGTTTTCAATAAGTGTATCAAGACAGAATCTAAAAATATATGAAAACATCCAAATGGAATTGTTGTAATGGATCATCCCATTATAAGAGGAAAGGCAATTGTCTCCTTCCTTTCTCTGTCTTCCTCCCCTCTTCCCTTGGTTCTTTCCTTCTTTGCATGGTTGTTCAGGATGTCAAATTCAGGGCTTCTGCATGCTAGGCAAGCACTGTAACACTGAACTACATCCATAGTTCCATGATAGCATTTAACAGATTTTGCTGGCCCCCTGAAGTTTCCTTAACAGTCTTAGTTCATGCACATGTCCTAGAAAAACAAGCTGGGCTAAGAATTCTGTTTGTATGTTTCATAAATATTAACTCCACCAAGATAGGAGATTTATTAATCACCATACTGGTTCTCTGATAGACATTATTATTCTCATTTGAAAAATAGATAAGTTGAGGCTGAGACAGGTTACTTTTCTGGTGTCTAGGAACAAAGCTGAATGAAGGTCTCTGTGAGTATGGAAGCTGTCATCTTGTGTGACAATCTCCATTCCATTAACATACGGTATTTTCTATTTTAATAATTAGGATTATTTACTTTAAAAAAGATACTTTTCATTTAATACAACTTATTAAATTTAGTAAAATACCTATTAAAAATGATAATTCAATAGAATGAAGCTCTTTGATTTTTGATATAACTTGTAATAGTTACTATAAATAAATAACTCCTTGTATATTTTCTTTTAGGGGTTGATACAAAATTGAAATTCACACTTGAGCCATCTTTAGGTCAAAATGGTTTTCAGCAGGTAATTTTACTTTTGGCTTTGAATGCACTCATTCTGGGGAATAAGCAGGATATATAGAGATACAGTTTTAAAGTGAGAATATTAGTGTTTACTTTGATGTACATAAGAAGATGCCATTTTTTAAAAACCTGCGTTTCTACTTGCTATGAAAAATTTTGTACTTTTCGTTAGTTGTACAAGGGTGAAAACATTTAAATAGCCAAATGTCTGTTATTCTGAACTCTGCATACATGCTTTGGCTTTTGAACCAGAGCATCCACTCTAGTGCATGTGTATTGTCACAGATGTTTATTTATTTATCTGTGTGTGTGTGTGTGTGTGTGTGGCCAGCTCAGCCCATCAGGGGGCAGGGCTGGCTGGCATGTGGTGCGGGGGGATTGAACTGCGGTCCCTGTGCTTTGCTAAGCTTGTTCTAAGTAGGTGCTTTAGACCACTGAGCCATCTCACCAGCCCTGTCACCAATGTTTTTAAGGTCCTTAAAGGGTGGGGATGGGGTCAGTCACAGCCCCTACTTAGACTGATAACTTCTGGCTGAAAGAAGCTTTAATTATTAATCCTAATGTGCTGTACTAATTTTATTGTATTCTGTGGATGTCAAGTTAGAGAAAAGTTAGAAAAGTGTTTCTCCAGGTTAATATTCTCTAATATTTCCTCTCTGTTCCCAGTGGTATGATGCGCTCAAGGCAGTTGCCCGGCTGTCAACAGGGATACCTAAGGAGTGGAGGAGAAAGGTAAAGTGCAGTACAGAAGGGTTGCGTGTGTGCTCCTGGGCAGCATCTCACACATCAAAATGTATTCTAGGCTTAGCAATTTGACTTTTGTGTCTTCATCACTCATGCACGCACTAAGCATGTATTGATCCATTCATTCTGTGCCAGGGGCTGTTCTCGGTGCTAGGGAAGCAAACAGTGGAAACAAAAAGGGCAGACACAAGTTTATGTCCTCAGAGGGCTTACAATGAATAAAATATAAAATATGTCAGATGGTGATAAATGCTATGGATAAAAATAAACATAGAGTAACAGTGAGGTGAGTGTGGAAGAATGAGTAAGGGGTGGAATTTTAAATAGCAAAGTAACATGTGAGTAGGACCTCGAAAAAGGTGAGAAGTCAGCTGTGCAGTTAGCTGGGAGAAGACAGGCCAGGTAGGGGAACAGCCAGTACCAATGCATTCAGGTGGGAAAGTTCAGGGATGCTGAAGCTGAAGCAGTTAGAGGCGATGGTGGGGGAGGGGTGGAGCACAAAGAGCAGCTGGGAAAGGCCAAAGGAGAGAGAGGCTCCTCCAGGCAATGAGGGAGTTGGGTCATGCAGGCTAGAGTAGGAGGTGGGCGGCTATTGACTTGAGAATTGCGGAGAGGAGCTTCACAACAGTTTAGGTGAGGTGGGTCAGAGTTGTGGTAGTAGAGAGAAGGGGTCAGACTATAGATATATTTAAGTTTTATGGAAAAATAAAATTTCACAACAGAATAGTCAGAATAATAATAGTTAACACATTACATGCTAGTTTTAAAGTTGCTCAGGGTATAAGATATGGGCATAAAAATTTCTCTGATCAATATTAGCACATATTTTCCTTTTTAGTGAATTAAGAGATACTAATAGTATAACTAATTTGCATTTTTTTTCTTTTCCCTACTGCCTTTTCTCATTTCACCCATTCTAATGCCTTTTTCTTTTTGACAATTTCTCCTATTTCACAATATCTATTGTACATTTTAGACCATAGTTATTCTTTCAGTTTCTCACATCAGGGAGACAATATGATGTTTACATATGTGAGTCTGATGTAGTTCACTTATGAATGTGGTCTCAAATTGCATCCATTTACCTATAAATATCTCCAGCTTATCTTTCTTTATAGCTGAATAGTATTCCATTATATAAAAATGCCACATTTATTTTATCCATTCCTTGGTTGATGAAAATTGGGGTTGTTTCCAAGATTTAGCTATGACAAATTATGTTGCTGTAAACATGGGTGTACATATATCACTGTGGTATGATGTTTTTAATTCTTCTGGGAAGATACCCAGGAAGGAAATAGCTGAGTTGAATAGGACCTCTAATCCGAGATTTTTTTTTTAAATCATTTATTTGTTTATTTATTTATTTATTTGGTACAGTGTCTTGCTACAAAGTTTGGACTCATAGTAATCCTCTGTCTCAGCCTCCCCAGCACTGGAGTTGTAGATGTGTGCCACCATGCCCAGTTTCAGTGGCCAGCATGGCATGTGGTAACAGGGATCAAACCTATGGGGGTCTTTGCATTTGCCAGGCAGGCAGTTAGACCTCTGAGCTAAGTCCCCTGCACAAATCCTAGTTTTCTGAGGAATGTCCACACTCATTTGCACAGTGGTTGTACTAGTCTACACTCCCATCAATAGTGAAAAAGAGTTCAGTTTTTTCCCACATCTCCTCCAGCATTTGTTATTGATTGGTTTCTTAATGGCAGCCATTCTTTTTGGGGTGAGATGGAATCTCAATCTTGTTTTAATTTGAATTTCTCAAATGACTGGTGATGTTGAACATTTTTATATATTTTTTTGCCATTTGCATTTTTTCACCTGAGAAATATATAATGATCTCATGCCCATTTTTTGATTGGGTCTTTGAATATGGGGGTCTGATTTTTAAAAAAAATTCTTTATATGTTCTAGATAGAACTCTTATCTGAAGGACAATTGGCTAAAATTTTTTTCTCTTTTGGTTATCTTTTCACTTTCTTGGTGATTTCTTTTGCTGTGCAAAAGCTTTTTAATAAGATGAGATCCTAGTTGTTGATTCTTTGAAGTATTTCCTATGCAGTCTGAGATATATTCATGAACTCTCTGCCTATTGCTATGGCTTCAAGATTTCTACCTACTTTCTCTTCCAGTAGACTTAGTGTTTCTGTTTTAATTTTTTTGCTGGTACCATGCTGATTTTATCACAGTAGCTTTGTTGTAATTTCAAGTCAGGGATTGTGATGCTTCCTGCCTTGTCTTTGTTGCCCTGGGTTGCTGTTGCTATTCTAGGTCTCTTCTGGTTCCATATGAATTTTAGGAATATTTTTCCTAGTTCTGTGAGGTATACTAATGGTATTTTGTTGGATTGCATTATATCTGTTCAACAGTTTTGGGAGTATGCCTGTTTTCCCTGTGTTGCTTCTTCCTATCCATGAGCAGGATAGCTCTTTCCATTTTCTGATATCCTTTTCAGTCTTTTTCTTAGAGTACTGTAATTTTCGATATATGGATCCTTTACTTCATTGGATTGATTCCTAAATATTATATTTTTTTGGATGCTCTTGTAAACGACATGGTTTCCCTAATTTCTCTCTCACTATGTTTGTTGTTTTGTACAAAAATGCTATCATTCTTTGAGTCTTGACTTTGCACCCAGCTATGCTCTTGAATTTGGTTCTAGATATATTTTGAAAGTTGAGCTAACATGAATTTCTAATGGGCAGAATATAAGGTATAAGAGGGATGTCAAGGATAGCATCAAAATTTTGGCCTGAGTGACTAGAAAGGTAGAGTTACTGTTTAGATAGTTGTGAGTAACAGACGTGTGTATTGATGTGTATGGTCAGAGTGGTGACTTACATGATGGCTATGCTTGTGATGCCCTATTAGATATCTAAATTGAAGGTGTTAAGCGAACATTTGTTAATCTGATTCAGATCCTTGGAGGTTGGGCTTGAGATATTAATAGAATAGTAAGATATTAATGCTGTTTTTGCTGTTATGTTGAAATAGCAAAGCTTGAAATGTTTTCTTAGGATATTAATTTATAAATGTAGTTTTTTTAATATTTATTTTTATTTATTACATTTATTTATTGTGTGTGTGTGTGTGTGTGGCCAGCTCAGCCCACCAGGGGGCGGGGCTGGCTGGCATGTGGTGCTGGGGGATCGAACCGCGGTCCCTGTGCTTTGCCAAGCTTGTTTCAGTTAGGTGCTTTAGACCACTGAGCCATCTCTCCAGCCCCCAAATGTAGTTATAATGTTCTTGGAATTCACGTTTTGAGGGATCCTAAAAAGAAAAATGGCATCATGAAATACATTTTCCACAAACAGATTTTCTGGGTAAGATAAATGGGTAAAAATTTCCAATCACTTTTTTAAAAAATGCTATTCATTGTGGGAATCCATCTGTCAGTTTTATGCATGTGAGGGTGAGATGATTGAATAGTAGAGACCTCCATGATGAAAAACGGCCCATTCCTTATGAGTAACCAAGTGGCTTTTGCCCAAACACGGAGAACAATTCATTCTAGGTAAATGCTATGTCACTCAGTTATATTATTAGCTTGAAAGAGAGCCCTTCAAAGCCAACTAAAAGAAAAACACAGCTAAAATAAAATTGTAAGGAGTTGAAATGAAATTTTTAAAAAAATGTTTGTTTATTCTCAGTAACATTCATGATGTTAGGGTTGTTGCTTGGTACATACTATGAGCTCAGCCAATATTTATGAAACGATGAAAAGCTGTAAAGGGTCCAATTCAATATAGTAGAAATTTTGAGGACGCTCTTATAGATCTGTATGTATGAGCTCTGTGTGGCCTGGGAACCGTTCTCATTTTCTTCACTTGATCTTAGCCAAAAGGCCGAGAAGCGATTCTCATTTTCTTGTTGGATGTAATAACTATTTTCTAATGAAAGTGAAACTACACATGCTGCTTGAAACTCATCTTTATGTGCTGTTTTAGGTTTGGTTGACTTTGGCAGATCATTATTTGCACAGTATTGCCATTGACTGGGACAAAACCATGCGCTTCACTTTCAATGAAAGGAGTAATCCTGATGATGATTCCATGGGGATTCAGATAGTTAAGGTAATGACCTGACGTTGGTCTCTTTTCTAGTCACCACCACCACCACCACCTCTGCCATCTCTAGCTCTACCTCTTAAGAGCCAGATGATTTCAAATGATCTCTGTGTTGTGGTCTAAACGTTGATGTGTTTTTTGCCTTCTCGTTTCTTCAGGAAAGCCTTGGGGCTGGGGAGATAGCTTGATGGTTTAAGTACTTGCTTGGGACCCAAGTTCATTCCCTAATACTGCATGCCATGCCTGCCACTGAAACCAGGTGTGATGGTTCACGCCTGTAATCCCAGCACTGGGAAGGCTGAGACAGGAGGATCACTAGGAGTCTGAGCTGTGTAGTGAGACTCTGTATCAAATAAGTAAAAGATTTGAAAAAAAAATTTAATAAAAAGCCTTGATTATTTCTTGTTTTCATAACATTAATTATTGCCAGTAAGGGCTGGTGAGATGGCTCAGTGGTCTAAAGCACCTACTTAGAACAAGCTTAGCAAAGCACAGGGACCGCGGT